TGGTTTATGCATTGAACCCTGATCTTCCAGTTGTTTATGCATAAACGGTTTTTGTATTTAGGTATTCTATACCCTACTTTCCCCCAATCTCTCCTTATATATAATTGAGTAAGAACATTCTATATGAACATTCTAAATTTGCCCCCTTTAGTGTATGGACGCTTGAACTGTCAGTCAGAAGACGCTGGCTGGGTTGACTGGCTGCTTTGTGCAGTCCCGCCCAGTGTTTCAAGGTCTTTTGCATATGGAAGCTGATTGGACTTCACTGCATTCCACACCTCAAACTCACCCCCCTCCCTGCAAGGCAGTTGGAATGTCAGTTGCATATGGAACCTTCAAGGTCTTTTGCATATGGAAGCTGATTGGACTTCACTCCATTCCACACCTCATCCCCCCCCCCCGCAAGGCAGTTGGAATGTCTGGTGGTGTGTAGGTCCCAGGATCATGTTTTAAAAGCTGCCTGGTGGATTATGGACCATTCACACACTTTCAACCTTAACATACCTCATAGGGGGAGAGGAGAATGATGACAGCTGCTTTCCCTAGGCAGAGGCTGGGGGGGGGGAAGTAAACTTGAAGACAGACAGGCAGATCAAGGTTAGGCTGATGGTTGCCTGGATAGGGTTGCCAACTCCAGGTTGGAAACTTCCAGGATAGTTTAGGAATGAAGCCTGCTGAGGGTGGGGTCTGAGGAGGAGGAGGAGGAAGAGAAAGAGGAGGACCTCAGACAGATACAATGCCATACTCCCCACCCTCCAAACAAGCTGTTGCCAGTCTCCAGGTGACAGCTGGAGAGCTCTTAAAGCTCTGGTGCTAATTCAAAGTGCTGCAATTTGTCGACAGAGTAGTGTTTTGGCAAATCTTTAGGAATTGTTTGGTGCATTTACGATGAGGCACCCACCCAGAGCCTCTGGCATTTTCTCACTCTGCTGGCATCAAAACCAATTTAAGGCAAAATAAGAGGCTACTGAGAGGGGAGGAGATAAAGTTGCCAGCTTTAGGTATGGAAAATCCTGGAGATTTGAGGAGTGGAGGCCGGAGAGGGGGACCTCAGACAGGTTACAGTGCCATAGACTCCACCCTCCAACCCAGCTATTTGCTCCTGGGGAACTATTGTTGCCAATCTTGGCCCAGCACCCATCAAACCATTCTCTTCAACCCCCTGCTGTGCAGCTGACTTTCCCCTAGGGTTGCCAATCTCCAGGTGGGACCTGGAGATCTCCCACTGCTACAATTGATCTCCAGATGACAGAGATCAGTTTCCCCTGGAGAAAATGGCTGCTTTGGAGGGTAGACCCTATGACATTATACCTGCTGAGTCCTTCCCCCCCCCCAATGCTGCCCTCTACAGAATCTACCCCCCAACACTCCAGGTATTTCCCTCCTTATAGCTGGCAACCCTACTTTCCCCTCAGTGCCTGTTGGTAGGCAACTAAGTTTGGTCCAGTCACCTACTTTGGCCTTTGGGAGAAAACATATTGGGGCCAATCCTGATAGGGTTGCCAACTCCCGATGGGAAATTCCTGGAGATTTGAGGGATGGAGCCTGAAGAGGGTGAGGTTTGAGGAGGGGTGGGACCTCAGACAGGTACAATGCCATAGACTCCACCCTCCAAACCACTCAGTCCTTCATGGGGAACCATTGTTGCCAATCTCCAGGTGAGGGCTGGAGACCACTCAAAATTACAATTGCTCTGCAGAATGGAGGGCGGAAGTCAGCTGAAGTCAAAGGGGCAGATAATGGTAGGTTGATGGTTAGCTGCGAAGGAGATGGGGTTGCCAACTCCAGGCTGGCAAATTCCTGGGGATTTGAGGGGTGGAGCCTGGAGAGGGTGGGGTTTGCGGAGGGGTGGGACATCAGACAGGTAGAATGCCATAGACTCCACCCTCCAAACCAGCCATTTCGTCCTGGGTAACAATTGTTGCCAATTTCCAGGTGAGGGCTACAGATCACTCAAAATTACAACTGCTCTTCAGGGAGCAGAGATCAGTTCCTCTGGAGAAAACAGTGGACTCTGCCATTACACCCTGCTGAGGTCACCACAGCTAAATGACACTGTTTGCCCAAAGCCAGAGCACTGCCCCAGAGCCTCTTTCTAGATCTCGTTGTATTTATTTCCACAACGGGTTTTACTGCTAGTAAGGCTCTAAAGCAGTATGCAACTTCATTCCCCCCCCCCCCATTTTATCCTCACATGATCCATCCACCCTGTGAGGGTAGGCTATGTTGAGAGTGACTGGCCCAAGATTGCCTGGTGAGCTTCTGTGGCAGAGTATGCTTGTAGCAGGAATTAAGATGAACAAGGATTTCTCCTGCTTCTCCCCCTTCCTAACACACACATATTCTTCCCCCCCCACACACACACACAGACAAATGGAGGGTCTTCTTAGCCTTTTGTTGCTGAAAAGAGGTGCAGGGAACTCTCTTGTTGTATCTAGTGGTGCTCAGATAGCAAAGCTTAACCAGCTGGGCCTGAAGACAGAAGGGAAAGGGCCAGTTAATAAAGAAGCCAGGCAGAGGAGATGGATTGTGTGCTCATGGGGAGAATGAATCTTCCTGCCGAAAAGGAGCCAGGAACCAAAGAGCTTTGGGCTAATTAAAGCGAGTAACTCTATCCCAAAGCCTTGTGAATTATTGATCTGGCACAGGCTCCCGATGGGCAGTTGTGGGCTCGTTTATCTCTGAAAGTGAAGGGGTTTTTTTGTTTGCTTCCATGCAAGTTCTTGTGCCTGTATTTAATTGCTTCAGCTATTCTTCTGTTCATCACACATATACACACACACGTTTTGTACCTTTTTGATAGCAAACTTTTTTTTTTACCACTGTGTGGCTACTCCTTTGACCTGAAGGACTAGCTGGAAATATAGAGCACTGGCAGGGTTAAATTCCAGAAACTAAATATCCTGTGCACATTCACCTGTGAGTAATCTCCACTGAACATGGCAGGGCTGATTTTGGCGTGACCATGAGTAGCATTTGGTTGCAGGTCCCTGCATTATGTTGTATAGATTTGGTGAGTGTGGGGCGTGGTGGTGGGGGGGAGAGAAGAAACCTCCTCTTCATCTTGTAAAGTAGGTTTGGTTAGGAACTTCTGTGTCAGCCCTTTCCACTTTAGGAACACACTCCCCCATCCCTTCTGCTATCTGAAAGCTTTGATCATCGTTTCCCAGATAGCTTTAGGTAGCGTCAATGTGGTTTAGCGGTTAGAGTTCCAGGCTAGGGTCTAAGAGCAGGGGTCATTTCGTAGAAAAAGAGCTAGGGGAACTCATTAGCATAACTCATTAGCATATGCCACACCCCCTGACATCAGGGGCCCGGCGGTGGACCTGCAAGGCCGGCGGGAGTGCGAGGAAGCCCTGCGAAGGCCCTCTCTGGCCCCAGGCAGGCAGGGGTGGGGAGAGGCGGGGAGGAAGCAACTTACCCTCCCTCTTCTCCTGCCTCCTCCTGGCTGAATGAGGCCGGAAGCGGGACGGCCAGAAGCAGGGGGCGGGGCTTCGTCATGTGCCCCGCCCCCTGCACCTCACCCGGGGGAATTGTGTTCCCCCGCATTCCCCCCCGAAATGACCTCTGTCTAAGAGGCGCTGGTTTGAATCCTCCACTCCTCCATGGAAGCTGGCTGGGGGACCTTGGGCCAGTCCTTCTTCCAGGGATGGGATGGCCATTTACTTCAGAGGGGAATATCCTGGACGGCTGTGCCCTATCTGCCCACCCCTGGTGAGGAGGAGCACAGGCACAGTGGCATCCAGCTTTACGCTGTGGCAACAGCACCCATCTTGCTCACTGGCCCCACTCTGCTGAGGCCGGCAAGGAGGAGCCTGGGCACAGAGGCTTCAACTTTACCTTCTCCTGGCTCAGGAACAATGCAGCTAGTGAACAGGAGCACGGGCACAGTGGTGCGTGGCTCCAGCCTTTGAGGAGCAGTATGGGCACAGCAACGCCCAAGTTCCCCTCATGCCAACTGAAGCATGGTGCAGCTGGTGAGGAGGAGGGGGATGGGCACAGTCAGGGCTATTTTTGGGCAGGAACGCACAGGAATGGAGTTCCAGCTGGCTCCCAAGTTGGCCACGCCCAGCAGGAACTCATTAGCATAATAGGCCACACCCAACAGCAGAAACTCATTAGGATTGGCTACATTAGGGGTGTGTGGCCTAACATGCAAAGGAGTTCCTGCTACAAAAAAAGGCCCTGGGTTTTGACAACAAACAAGGTAAACAGAATAACAAGCAAAAGGTGGGTGTGGCTGGATAACCACACTTCTGGTATCATGGGGGTGTGGCCTAATGTGCTAATGAGCTGTGCTGTCAGGGGTGTGGCCCAATATGCTAATGAGTTCCTGCTGTTGGGTGTGGCCTATTATGCTAATGAGTTCCTGCTGGGCTTTTTCTACAAAAAGAGCCCTGGGCACTTTAGTGCCTGGCTTCATCCTGTACCAGTTGAGATGTGGCATGTCTGGAGAGGAGAGGCACAGCAATGCCTGTGTGGGTTGTTTTTTGTAAAACATTTTCGTGTGTGAGTGTGTGCACCTGGAAGTCATGGTGACCTCTGGTAACTGACCCCTACTGGGAGCCTGGAGGATATCCAGAGAGGTGGCTGAATAAAGCCTGCCCCTGCCTCCCACCTCTGATATTCCAAGGAGGTCTCCCATCCAAGTGCTTGCCAGAGTGGACACTGCTTAGCTTCCAAGATCTGATGAGACCGGGCTTGCCCGGCCTACCCAGGTCAAGGCTGCAATGCCTGTTTTTGACTTGCTAGCTTGCGTGAGGTACAACTGATGTGGAGGAGAGTGGTGGCACCTTCTTTCTCTCCTGCTGGCTCAGGCAAGGGGGGGCCTTACCAGGTTCATGCTGGCCTCTTAATCCACCTCTGCTCATTCATCCTTAGCCTAACCAACTCACAGGCGTGTTGTGAAGATAAAATGGAAAACGAGAAAATGATGGCCAGGAGAGAGGAAGGAAGAGGGTAAGACCTCACCAGTAACCCCTGGCTTCTGTTCCCTCAAGGTACAACGGCCAGCCCTCTGCTAACTGGTTCTCCGGAGTTTCACCCTGCAGGCTTTGACTCTGCAAGCTTCATTGGCGGGATTGTCCTGGTGCTCAGCATCCAAGCTGTCATCTTCTTCGTCATCAAGTTCCTCCGATCAAAGGACAGCACCTATCAGACACTGTAAGTTCCCTCACCAGCCACTGGGAGGAGAGGTTGGCGGAGAAGATCCGCTCAGGACGTACTTTTGCACACAGCTCCTGTTTTATGGGAGAGGAAGAGAGCCAAGAGGATCAGGCCCTTTTGCCCAAAATACGGGGGAGGAAGCATGCACACAATTCTCATCCCCGCACTCAGATTTCTATTGTTAGCAAATTCCTCTGGGAGAGATTCCCTATTTCTACTTAGGGTTTTTCTTCTGTTCACCTCTTGCAAAATTTCAGCAGCTGCTTCCTGAAATGTCATGATTGCTTGGGTCTCCAAATGACTAACAACATGCACATAGCTTGGGGGCAGGCTTATGCGAGGAGTCCTTTATTGTAAGGCTGATTAAGCAGTTGGTTCCCTTCCTTGAATGTAATGACCTGGCAACAGTGATTCACACAATGGTGACCTTGAGATTGGATTACTGTAATGCTCTCTACATGGGGCTGCCCTTGTCCCAAATCCGGAAGCTGCAGCTGGTGCAGAATGCAGTGGTGAGGCTGTTGTTGTGTCTTCCTGCGTGGGAACACATTTAGCCTGCCCTAAAAGCACTGCACTGGCTGCCTATAGCATACCGGGTTTGGTTCAAGGTGCTGGTTCACACCTTTGAAGCCCTATATGGTCAGGGACCTACTTACCTAAGGGACCGCCTTTCCCCACATGTTCCCCAGAGAGCACTAAGATTGGGGTCCCAAAACCGTCTGGCCCTTCCAGGCCCTAAAGAAGCCCGGCTAGCTGTGATGAGGGCCAGGGCCTTCTCTGTGGCGGCCCCGTACTGGTGGAATGAGCTCCCGAATGACATCAGGGCCCTGCGGGACCTTTTACAGTTCCGCAGGGCCTGTAAAACAGAGCTCTTCCACCAGGCTTTTGACTAGGGTGCTGCCTCCCAATATTATGGCCCTGGCCCCAATATCAGTACCAACTTAACCAACAGCCTGGCAAGAACCCAGACTATGATGGTAGTTGACCATCTGGATGCCAAGATAATGCCGCCATCACTTATTAGGATCTGTTTACTAGCACTTATGATTTTATATGTTGTGGTTTTATTTAAATTTTGTGTTTTAACATATCTTGCTGTTTTAATATACATTGGTGTGTGTGTGTGTGTGTGTATTCTGTAAGCTGCCCTGGCAGAGAGGGCGGGATACAAATTAAATAAATAAATAAGGAACTCCATTCTAGACAGGGTAGGGTAGGGAGAGGATTCTAATCTATTCTAACTAGCTAGGATGGATGGAGATGCAGGAAGCATGTCCTGCCCTCATGGTGCCAAGATGGAGAAGGGTAGCACAGTGTTGAGAGAAGGTGTCAGGCTGGAAGAAAGGAAGATTCACTGAGAGTAGCAATCTACACATCAAGTGATAGCATCAGAGCAGTAGAAAGGAAGGATGATCAGGGTCCTGGCCTATCAATCTCTCTGACTCTCTCTAGTCCCACTCTGAAGTCTGAAGACAGTGCAAAGTCTTTCAGTTCCAACACATAGAAAAACTGTAAGAGCACAACCTAATTCCTGGACACTATACTGGACTTCTGAGTTCTTCACTTCGAACATCCCTTGGTGCCCATTTGCACAATTCTTTTTATGGCACATGTGCACTACCAGCTATGCTCAAGAACTGGCAGTTCTGACTGCCACTGGGTGCCACAAGTCGTGGTGCACTTTGTGCCCTGCCCTCTCATTCTGCTGTCCTTTCTAAGATGCATTTCCTCTAAGTTGGTATTTGCTGTCTTGTGGATGAGCCGCCTTCCTTCCTTCCTTCCTTCCTTCCTTCCTTCCTTCCTTCCTTCCT